GTGCCTTGCAGTACGTGCCTGGATAGTTTGTGGATATAATTATTGACTGGAATCTGGGCTGTTGCAGTTGTACGGGGAGGGGGGGGGGGGGGGGGGGGGAGAGAGGGAGAGAGGAGAAAAGAAAGCGTCCCCCTCCTCCGCCGACCCTCCCTGCTCCCCCTCCCCACATTTATTTTTTTTTCTTCTCCCCCTTTGGTGGTGGTTCGGACATTTCATGTACTGAATGAACTGGAATTGCTTTCCATGTGAGGAGGATGGTTGCTGTTACTTTGTGATGAGATCGGGAATGAATTCCTCGGTTTAAAAATGCTGCTTTGGATTCTGTTGCTGGAGACGTCTCTTTGTTTTGCTGCTGGAAACGTTACAGGGGACGTTTGCAAAGAGAAGATCTGTGTCTGCAACGAGATAGAAGGGGATTTGCACGTAGACTGTGAGAAAAAGGGATTTACCAGCCTGCAACATTTCACTGCCCCAACTTCACAGTTTTACCATTTATTCCTGCATGGAAATTCCCTGACTCGACTTTTCCCTAATGAGTTTGCTAACTTTTACAATGCAGTCAGTTTGCACATGGAAAACAACGGTTTGCATGAGATTGTTCCTGGGGCTTTCCTTGGGCTGCAGCTGGTGAAACGCTTGCACATAAACAACAACAAGATCAAATCGTTCAGGAAGCAGACTTTCCTGGGGCTGGATGATCTGGAATACCTCCAGGCAGATTTTAATCTATTGCGGGATATTGACCCGGGAGCATTTAGGGACTTGAACAAGTTAGAGGTGCTGATTTTAAATGACAATCTCATCAGCACCTTGCCCCCCAACGTGTTTCAGTATGTGCCGATCACCCACCTCGACCTCCGGGGAAACCGTCTTAAAACCTTGCCTTATGAGGAGGTCCTGGAGCAGATCCCAGGCATTGCTGAAATCCTGCTGGAGGATAACCCCTGGGACTGTACTTGTGATCTGCTGTCGTTGAAGGAATGGCTGGAAAACATACCCAAAAACGCTTTGATCGGCAGAGTGATTTGTGAGGCTCCTACTAGGTTGCAGGGCAAAGATTTAAACGAGACCACAGAGCAAGAGCTGTGCAAAAAGAACAGGGTGGATTCTAGCCTAGCTGCTCCCCCTGCTGAAGAAGAAACCTGCGATCCTGGTCCCATTCCAACCCCCTTTAAAATACATGGCAAAGAAAACCCTGCCACTCCAGGATCTGGTCCAAACGGAGGTACAAAGATTCCTGTCAACTGGCAAATCAAGACCAGACCCACTGCTGCCGTGTCGACAGTCAGTGCGAAAAGCAAGCTACCGGCTACCGTCTCCTGCCCGCAGATGTGCAGCTGTGATCAGATCCCTGGCTCGGGTTTAAAGGTTAATTGCAATGACAGGAATGTGAGCAGCCTGGTGGATTTGAAGCCCAAGCCATCCAATGTGCAGGAGCTGTTTCTGAGAGACAACAAAATACACACCATCAGGAAATCCCACTTTCTGGATTACCGGAAACTTAATTTACTTGATCTGGGCAACAACAACATTGCCACTGTTGAGAACAACACCTTCAAGAACCTCTTTGATCTCCGATGGCTCTACATGGATAGCAACTACTTAGACACCCTGTCCAGGGAGAAATTCGCTGGGCTGCAAAACCTGGAGTATCTGAATGTGGAGTTTAATGGGATCCAGTTGATCATGCCTGGCACTTTCAATGCAATGCCCAAACTGAGAGTCCTCATCCTCAACAACAACCTGCTGAGGTCTCTCCCAGTAGATGTCTTCGCTGGGGTCTCGCTTTCCAAGCTGAGCATACACAACAATTACTTCATGTACCTCCCGGTGGCGGGGGTACTGGACCAGCTCACCTCCATCACCCAGATCGACCTGCACGGCAACCCGTGGGACTGTACTTGCCCTATCGTGCCTTTCAAACAGTGGGCGGAGATGCTGCGCCCCAAGGTGATTATGAGTGACCTGAGGTGCGAGTCCCCTGAAGATTTCTTCAAGGAGGATTTCGAGTCTCTCTCCAACGATGTGATTTGCCCTCAGTTAAAAATCTCGCCCACATTAACTTCTACTAACAAAAACAGCACCGGTTTGACAGAGACAGGTACTCACTCCAACTCCTACTTGGAGACCAGCCGGGTCTCTATTTCGGTGCTGGTGCCAGGGCTCCTGCTGGTTTTTGTGACCTCTGCCTTCACGGTGGTTGGCATGCTGGTGTTCATCCTGAGGAACAGAAAGCGGTCCAAGAGGAGGGACGCCAACTCCTCCGCATCTGAAATCAACTCCTTGCAGACGGTCTGCGACTCGTCCTACTGGCACAACGGGCCCTACAGCACCGACGGGGCCCACAGGGTTTACGACTGCGGCTCCCACTCCCTGTCGGACTGAGGCGACGAGTGGGGTGGGGGAGGCCCCACCCGGGGCCGACCGTTGGGCGCTGCGGCCGGACGGGCGATGAACACCGGCCAGGGACGGCTCTGCACCTCGGCTACCTTTTGTGAGAAAGAAAACACACACGCTCACACCCCCCCTCACGACCCCCATAGCAAGCACCGAGGCCCGGT